CGTACAATGAGCCACATTTGTGCCCTCAAGCTTTCAGCCTGGGCTCATGTGACGTAGGGGAGCTGTCAGTCACGGTGTTTCAGTACCAGAGGTGCAAGGCGGTCGCTCCTGGCCTGAGGTGTCTCTCTCCACAGATACTGTCAGACAGTGCACACCATTGGTGCAATTGGTGCTGACCATGTAGTCAGCACCAGAGACTCATTCCAGCATTGTTAGATTGCTGTCCAGAAAAGCAATAAACAGAAAGCCAGGCATCCAGTTCTGCCCAGGGTCCTGCTCTGGAGGAAGGGAGCATCCCTACTTGTGAAAAGAGGCTTTGCCGTCCGTGCCCACCATGGGCATGCTTCCTTCTTGGGCTCTTGGTGGCATGGCTTTACTGGAGAGCATTCCTCAGCCTTACTGGCGCTAGTACCTCCAGCACTGTTGATTTTCCCCCCTCTCTTCGGGGAGCCCTTCTGGAAGCTGTTTGCTTCACCATCACTTCTCAACTCTGCGTAGCAGCATTTGCAGCTGCCTTCAACAAGGCAGGCATCTAGACCAGCGATTCTCAACTAGAGTTCTCCACCCTGGGGTGCCTTGCAGTCCTTTCAAGGGTGCTACACAGTGTTACCATTGGTAGGTGCACAAACAGGATCCACCAGAGAAACCCAGAGATTTCAAATAGAAGTCTGTAGTGTTAAAACCGTTCTGACCTGTTGTGGTCTTCCTGAGTTTTTACAACAGAAAAACCGCTCTGGTGTAGTGATCAGTAGTTTGGCTACAGAAAAATAAGAGCTGGCATTTCTGAGGGGTGCTTGAGTCTAACTAGGGTGTCTTGCATCTAAAAAGGTTGAGAATGACTTGTGTAGTCCATTGGTTCCCAAACATTTTTGGTTGTGTACCCCTGATTCTTTGTTAGATATTATTACTATTAAGCAGCGTATTGCTGTTGCTGCACTGTAGTTGCCCCCACTACCAAAGAAACTCTTTTATTTGTTTCTCCCATTTACGTTTTCCCTTTCCTTTCTGCTTCCCCGTTCCTTCCTCCAGTGACTGGAAGTTCACTGCATGCTGTAGTCAGAGGTGCACGGCTCCATCTTGGAGCCAGTTGTGCCGATCCAGCTGACTTGGTCCACAGGGCACGGTGGTCTTTCCTTGAAGGTTTCACCACTGTGAAAGGACTTTATTCAGGTGTCTTGTGACTTACCCCTCCCCCTGCTTTCAGGAGGCCATAGAAATGGCTGTCACATTATCAGACGAAGGCTGGGATGCCCCCACCACTAATGTGAAGGGGTCATTAACCCGTCTTGCACCCAAAGCTCCTGCACTTAGCTTTTTCTCACCACTAATCCTATGTCAGGCTCAGACTTTGCACAGTTGACTCTTGGCTTCTAGCACCCAAGCAGGGAGAGAGAGTCTGAGACCTTAGGATGTCAAAATGAGCAGTGACTTGATTTTGCCTTTAAAGACTTTATGCTTCAAGAAGCGTGAGCTTAGATGGGAAAAGCTCAATGTGAGGCTCCCATTGATGTATTTAGCACAGGGGCGGGCAATTATTTTGGGCAGAGGGCCACTTACTGAGTTTCGGCAAGCTATCGAGGGCCACATGACAGGCAACCCAGGGCAGATTAATATTAATTTTCTAAATGTTTTAGGGGCCCTACAGACCAGATAGAATGGCCTGGCAGGCCACATCCAGCCCCTGAGTCGCATTTTGCCCGTCCCTGAGCATGTCACCATGCTCCAGCATTGGACAATGGAGATATTTCAGGTGCAGATAAAGTTTATTGCATCCCTTTTAAAAACCCAGCTAGCATGGAAAAGTACTGGAACATGCTGAAAATCTATCAGGGTGAATAATGTGCTCATTGCCCTTCTGCAGCCCAGGACACCACTGTCGTGCCTTCAGGAGGCTTAAGTCTCCTGTATACGTTCTGGTATTATTTTATTTTTCTGCTCACCAGCAAATACTATAGCTGCATTTTGTCTTGGCGTTAGGTTACAAGCCATGACATACTTTTGTGCGTGAAGCAGCACGCGGTTCTGGAGCACCGTGACATCATTCGGCAAAATGGCTTTCGACGGCTTATCATTTTAGGGGACATCAGCTTCTGGGGGGGAGGGGTTTCCCCATACTGCGCCCCATTTCCATTCCAGACGGGAGCATGTTCAATCCGCAGTATCTGGCCTTCCATTCCAAAGGAGGATCCGCTGCCCGGCAAAGCTCGGTGGTGCGTGTCACGTTGTAAAGCAGCTACCGAGGGATGCCGTTGGGTTGTACCGAGTGCGAGGCCATCGGGACGGAATTTAGTTCACTCACAGTGTGTCTTGTGCCAGCCTTTGTCTGCCAAGTGTGTAGACCTCACACTCGTCCCCTCTCTCATCTCTCGAGAGCATCAAGTGGAGGAAACGTGCTGTGAAGCCCTCTCATGGAAGCTTAATTGGAGCCAGGCACTTTCCCAGCAGCTGCAGCGCTGGGTGGGACATGCTTTGCTGCCTGCACATGGCAGCGTTTAAATAACCCACCTAGACTCCCAGAACATTCTCTCTTCTCTCGTGACCCCAGGTTAAATTGGGGATCTGCATTTCACGCATCTCCGCAGCATGCTCTCGGCGTGTCTGTGCTTGCCTTTCTATATTTGGCTGCAGTAGATGTTAATGATCCTGCCGAGAAGCTCGATTATAGAGTAGGAAGCCTGGTGCTTATCCTTTAATAAGGCAGCCTGTTCGAGACCAGACCTGCTTTGGTGGGTGGGTTGGCCGTTTTCAATCGCAGCTCAAGACTTTCACTTGCCTCCCTTTCTGGCGAAGGTGTCAGTAGCCTTTCCTTAAGGGAGTGATGCTTTTGTGGCAGAGCCAAACCCATCTCATCATCGTATTGCCGCTTCATCTTGAAGCTCTCACTGACCCAGTGCTGGGGCTCTACATTAAAGATGTGTAATTATGAGGCATTTATAATTGGGCCAAAACAGCTTATTCTGGGCAGAAATTTGGCTTGCAAGGTCTTCAGCCTATGTGGAAGTTACTTGGCCACCCTGCTTTAAAGCAGAGTTTGTGGGTATGACCACAGAGGGGATGAGCTTGGCATGGGGTAGCTGCCAGTGTTGGGAGTGCTGGAGCAAAGACCAGTTTGATTTAAAAAAATAAATAAATAAAACAAAGATGAACAGCATGCGTCATCTCATGTTCCCACGTAACCAACTTGGCTTCATGTTAGAAGAGAGATGAATAACTGTGATCATAGCTGACAGATGCCAGGGACCTCGAGATGGACAGCTCTGCAGTCCCAGGCATTTGCAGCGGTCCAGGGGAAAAGTATAGCTTCAGGCACATATTCTGCTGATGCTGTGCTTTTTTGGCTGGTGGGGGTTTACTGCATTTGGCTGTCCACGAACACTAGTGCTGTTGCCCCACTCTGCCTTGGACACCTGGTTTTTAAAACTGCTTAACCAGACTCTCTCCTCAATGTGTCTGTCCTTCCTAACCTCTCTGCCAGTGGTAAAAGGCGCTGCAGAACTGGCCTTCCCATGAGCGATCCCTAGGAGACTGACCATCTTCCCAAGTAGCTTTTTGTTGGTTTCTTTGTAGTTGGTTGCTTGTCAGCCCAGGAGGAGAAGAGATCACTGATTACAATTGGCTTCATGCCTCATTCCCCTTTCCACTGCATCTATTAGCCATAGGGCTTTTTTGCACCTGGAGTGGATGGCAGACGCTGCGGCAAGAAACAAGTGGAGAGGGGTGGGCGGGAATTGTCTCGTATGGATTAACCTTTCTTTAGCAAGAAGCGCCGCTTTGTTACTCTAAGTGCATCGCATTTTTTTACAGACTAACAGGATGGCATAGCTGAAAAGCAGGTGACTGAGGAAAAATGACATGTTCCATATAAGGCTTTAGTCTTAGCAGAGGAAGCTTGGCTCCCTTCTCTGACCTGATGACTCAAGTGCTTTTTGCTCTCTGGTTGGAGGAGTGTTCTTCAGACACTCGGCCGCTCTGCTCCAGCCACTCCTCCCCAAGCAAAATCCCTTCTCCTCCCAAGATGCTGTGTCATGGAGGGGCCGAGAGCAGCGCCTGGCTTACCCACTCGGGCTGCTTCCAGTTGGACCCCGGAGGGGAAATGTGAGAGAAGGAAGCCCCATCTCGGCTACAAAATGAGAACAGGAAGGATTGCTGCCCTGGTGGAAGTATGGTGCATTTGGGGAGGAGCTGTGGTGATGGTGCTTTCCATGCAGCCAGTGCACTCCGTGGGCAGAGCTGGCCTTCCGAGGCCTGGCATCAGGCTGGCACAGGTCTTCTTTGGCATCTGTACTTCTCTCCCTTGTGGCCTGTGTTCAGACCCTCATGGGCCAGGACCACTTGAGGTCCCCATACACAGCCTATAACCTGCTCTGTGGCGGAGGGCCGGAGGGGCTGGGGGTGCTGTGTAGCAGTGGTGCTGCTCATGTTGGCTTGCATGCCCTGCCCTGTTGCAGGCCCGGTTTATCGGGTAACCACAGGGCAGGTAGAGTTCCTCACAAAAGCTGACCCAAGCAATGCTAAAGGGTGCTGCGCCTTCCCTTACACCCCAAGTGGTTTCCGCAACACTATTCCTCTAGTTGCCAGTCAGATCTGCGGGAGTTGTCAGCCACTTCCTCTGCACTGAGCTTGGGATTCATTCCCTGTCCTTGAGTCTGCCACCGATTCAGCCATACACACAGTGCCATGGCATGTGGGTTAACATGCGGAGGTATTTTAGGTGCTAGCACTGTGGGCACTGCCTCAGTGGTGCCCTTGTGCCTAGCAGGGAGGCTGGGCTCAGCGGGCCGTGCAAGGGGGTGGGTGGGGAAGGACGAATGATAAGGTAAGGGGGAAATGTCAACTCCAGTACTGGTGCCTGGGTGTTCCTTGGTCAGGCTGCAGGCAGATGAGCTGCTGTCAGGGCTCTCTTGCAGCTTGTCACTTGCACGTGAAAAATCTTAGCAGCAGACTCTTGTCCGTTCAGATGCACTGATACTGACCCTGCCCTTGTGCTCTCTCCCCTGCAGGATGGACAGAATGACAGAAGATGCCCTGCGCCTGAACCTTTTAAAGCGGAGCTTGGACCAAGCCGATGACCGGGACGATGTTCTGGCCAAGAGGTTGAAAATGGAGGGCCATGAGGCCATGGAGCGCCTCAAAATGCTGGCCCTACTGAAGCGCAAGGACCTGTCAGGCATTGACGTCCCCCATGAGCTCCCGGTGAAGCAGGATGGGGTGAAAGTATATGAAGAGAAGCTGAATGGGAGCCTGAGGCCCCATGCAGATGTCAGGACTGCAGGGAGGCCGGGGAAGGAGAACATTAATGACGAGCCAGTGGACATGAGCGCAAGGAGAAGGTAGGCTGCTGAGCCACTGGCATTAGAGGGTTGGGGTTTCCTTCTGTTCAGCCCCATGTGAGGTCCACAAGTCAGAAATCCAAGTTGTCATGAGTGCTCTGGATCTTGGCTTCTGAACCTTGGCCTGTGAAGCTTCACCTTTGGACAGTGGTCCCTGTTCTTCCCAGCAAAGGATGTCTGGGAGCAGTCACCTGTGCTCTCCCCTGTGGCCAGGTCTTTTTGCTGCCCCAGAGGCAGATTCCTCTGCCCCCAAGCTGTGTGTATGGAGCATATGCAGCAGTACCAAGGTGGCTGCAGCACAGTCCCTGTCAGTTTGTATTGGGGGGGCTGGAAGTCCCGCTCTATTTAGGCTTTTAATAGCTCCTGAAGAAGCGACAGTTCAAGTCCTTTATTTAGCCGAAGGCCAAGTCTGCTGTAAGTGCACAGACAATCGATCTCGGCGCTGGCCCTGGCAAGACTCACGACTCCAGGAATAAGAAGTAATTGTTTTTCTGGCCGAATCCTAGACTGCATGAACATCAGTTGCCAGGGCTGTCGGGGCCCAGGGTAGGCACGTCTGTTTTGGGGGAGCGAGGGTCTGTGCAGCAGCACACGCTCTTGAGCTCTGCCCATGCATAGTATTGGGCCCCGGCTGTTGAAATCACTTCAGCCCACACCTTGGGCCGGGCAGAGGATGTGCATGAAGTGTGTTTGTGGCAGTGGTGCTGGCAAGGAGTAGGCTTGTCCCTCCTGCTTCTGCATCCATAACTTGCACCTCTCAGCCACCACTTTGGCGTCCTTCCTTTGGGAGGGAGCAGCAAGCAGAGGTGGGGAGGATGTTTGGTTCGGTGTGGATGCCTGCTTAGCCTGCAGTTACAGGTGTGGGCAAGCAACAAGGTGGGGGGAGCCCTTGGTTAACCAGGCCCCATGCTCCGCGTACCCTCCTGTGTGATCCTGTGGCCTTTCAGAAACTCTTTGGTGGAGGATAAGGTTTTGTTAAAACCATCTTGGCCCTCACAAGCATTGAAGGGACAGCCATTCTTGTGCCTAGATCTCAGTGCGTGACATGCATTGGCACATGCTTGTGGAAAGGGGTTGGTTTGTACCTGGGAGCCAATTGCTGGACCCTTAGAGCTAAGCTTGTCTGAAGGAGGTATTGCCCCTCGAGTCCAATTTCTTCCCCGTCTCCAAGAACTCTTTTCCCTGCATCCTGAAAATGGAAATATGATGTCCTAGGGCAGGGCGAATGCCTCTTCATGGTTCTGTTCCCCATAACGGTGCCTCATTTGGTGTGGGGACTTATCTGCGTTGCAGGCATTGCTTGTTCTCAGCCTCCCATTCCTTGAGGCAAAAGCAACTGGATCGTGATTCAGCAAAACCCCAACTGGCTTTTGTTACTGTGTTCCTGGGATTCTGCTTGTGGGGCTTTGGCTGAAGCGGGCTTGCTCTCCGGATTGCAGGAGGACTCCTCCATGCTAGGAGAACCAGAATGCAGGCGGGGGCGCTGGCTCTCTGAGCACACGATGCCTCTTGCTGCTACAGTACGTGGGAGGTACTAGTGTATTGTATGTTATAAAGATTAATGCCTTTGCAGATGCTTGCTTATCTGTCAGATCCTGACTTGCAGGGAATCATGAGTGGTGAGTAGACAGGAGATGCCAGAAGTGGGAGGGGAAAGGGTTTTTAATGTACATTTGCCTTTAATTTTCTCTCTGTCATGTATGGCTCCATCTCTCCAGCTGCTTCTTCCATTGATTTTTTTTTTTTTTCTGCTTGCTTTGTTACAAAGAACCATTTTTTGATGAGAAATGGAGCTAGTATTGTGTCATTTCCGCGATGGTCGCATGGAACACCAGTATCATAGAAGCCCTCCACTGGCCCTCTCCAGGCTTACCATGGGCACCCCACTGTCCTGAGAGAATTGCCTGCTCCAGGGGTAATGTCTGTCCTATGCTAGGCATTTCCCCGTCTCTCCCTTGCCTGGGGAGAGCCCTGGGGGAATGCAGCAGAGTTGGAAGCCAGCAGTGGGGAACACACTCTCCATGCATTGCCATTATGTTCTCCATCCATTGCAGGAGTTTTTCAGCTGAGTCGCTCCCTTGCTACATGTGCAGGAAGGGACCTAACTCTGACCTGCATGAGAGTGGGCAGTTAGTACCTGACTGGGCTCAGGCCTTTGCAGAACCAGACTGCAAGTGGCACAGCTGGTGTGGGGTTTGGTGTTCTCCTCGGACAAATCCTTTCCAAGACTTTGGAAGCTTGATGTTCCTAGCAAAGCCCTGGTCTCGCAAGTAAACAGTGATGAATTAAGCAGAGACAACCTTGGAGAAAAGGGGAGAACACATTCCACAACCATGAGCATAATTTAGGGAGAAAAGGCTGCAGCAATAGCGCCAAGACTGCTCTCCCAGCAGGCTGGGGAAGTGGAAGGACTGGCCTGGGAGCATCTGCCTTATGCTCATCCAACTCTGCCTGCCTCTTGCATGCTCAAGGCAGCTTTCCTTCCAGGAGCTGCTGCAGCGTTATTCTTGCCTCCACAAAAGTAAATAAAACAGTCCTGACAGATTTAGTAACTCTTTGCAGATGGCCCCTTTTCCCCTGTCTGGCTTTGACATTGATTTTTGTCAATGGAATGTAAATTATAACGCCCCAGACGAATCTGAACTCTTGTCCAAAGTCATCGCGAGGAACTAGATCAGTAGCCTGAACTTGAGGAAGCCTCCGAGGAGCCCAAGCATGGTGTCTTGTTTGTCTGGGTGTGTCTGCCTGCGAAGTAATGGCCGTGGATGTGAGGGGGTTGATCCCTCCTGGAGCATGGAAAGCTGCGACGGCATTTAGCAGAAAGTCAGGGAAAATGGCTTGTAAGAGAGGGCGATCCTGCCTGTGTTGGACCACTGGTTCAGGCACAGTGGGACGAGTACTCATCCACACGCCCACTCGCATAGAGCAGTGAAAGGTGTGAATTAAAATGGTTTGTTTTGGTGCAAAGCCTGTGCGCTGAGGCAGGTAGTTACAAACGAGTGTCGAGTCTGTCACAGATTTCAGCCTCTGTACTCTGAGGCCTGCAAATGACTTCAAGCCTTGCATTTCTGACTTGGAGGATCCACTGCCTTGCTCCAAAATAAGCCAGTCAGGTTTAGGTAACTAGGTTCAAGTTGTACAGGCTTGTGTTTAGACTAGCCCTGATGGCAGACGAGAGTCAGGGCAAGCCACGCAGGGGAGCTGGGAAGTCATCTCAAAGCCAGACCCAGACACCTCTGAATAGTAAAGAACGTTATGAGGGTAGGTGTTTTCCAAGGAATAGGAACATCCCCAACTGGATATCTTCTTGATCAGTGTGCGTGGCACGCGCAGTGTTCTGGAACAGCTGTGTAACTTTCACTTCCTGTAGTTTGGAAACTGGTGTGCTCAGTAGTGAGTGGTGCTTTCAGTGAGGTCCTGCTCTTCGAGGCAGGCACCACTAACTCAGAGCTTCTTGGATGCATCTGAAATGCCCTGGACCAAGAGCAGTGACTGGGCAGCTTAGCCCACTGGAACTTCGTAGGTGCAGAGTCCTGTGCCCAGGACATTGCAGCTGCCACATGCCTGCTTGCGGGAGCTGAAGTGTGGATCTGCTCCTCACACTAACAGGACAGGTGCTAGGCCAGACCAGCAGAGCCACTGGGAGTGACATCTGATCTGGTCAGATCCTGACCCCGAGGACTGCTGGGGAAGCTTCCACCCACGGAAGTGTTGTGGGCAAGCCTGAGGGTACTGCCCAGGCAGAGGGTGGAAGTAAGGCAGGCAGCTTTGATGCACGATGCCAGAAGTCTCGTTTTTAACTTGGAGATGGGTCTGAGCACAGGAGTACGGAGGCAAACTGGCAGAAACAAATCTTTCCTGTCCCTCCATAGCCTTCCAGCTGTCATGGCCCCACAGTCCAGGTGACCTGTTGTACCAGTCTGTTGTGTTACTTTGCAGATACTCCAGCGGGGAATTGTGCTCGGCCATATAGACTATGCTTTGTGCCTTCCCCCTCGCCACTCCCCTGCAAGGCATACTAGGAGACATGAAGCAGAGAAGTCTTAGCACCGCAGAGGGAGTGCAGGGCTCCTGGATTCTGGTCCTGTGAATAAGTCATGTTGGCTGACGTTTGATGCACCATGCTGTCTTGGTATACCCTACGTGTTGTGGAGTGCTGCTCATGTGTTACTGTGAGCATGTAGCAGGCCACAGAAAGGTTACTGATTGACAAGCATCTTTTCACTGTCCTTGTCTCATCTGGAAGTGTCCCTGTGTGTGCAGAATCAGTAAATTGCTTGTAAGGCTTTGATTTTTTTGACTTCTTGGAAGCAGGTTATTTCTTTGAATGAACAAGCCATCACAAATGCTGGATCAGACCTTGGGTTTATTGTACTTAATTGGATCTGTGGGCCAGCAGGGCATGTGCTGGAGCCAGCTTTGTGCTGGGCAGCTAGCGGTTCTGCGTGCCACAGCCATCAGTAAGTTTTGTTTTGCTGTCCTTAATCAGACAGATTCAGCAGACACCGGCAACTACTTGCGTCCAAATGTAGCGGGTGCTAACGTCTGTGCTTGGCTTGCCAGGATTCAAAGATGCACACAAGTCAGACCAAGATGCAGCCCTCGCAGTGTCTCAAAGAGGCATAAACACCCGTGGGTTGTGCCTTTATCCTGCTCAGTTCCGCAGTGCAGCCCCATGCACTCCCTGATGCTGAGCTGCTCTTCC